GTTGGACTGGTCGCAGTGCAACCGATGATTTGGTCCTACACCAGCAGTACTTCTAGGTCACCTGACTTAACCCCATGTGACTTCTTCCTTTGTAGACAGAGCTTAAATTGCGCCGGAGCCCACCGGTCTTCTTCGTCTGGCTTCGGTACTTCTTAGTTTTTGAGTTCAATCTCATAATTCTAGGCGGAGCGCACTAGAGCCCTAAATAAGAAGGCTCCGGCACTTCTATGTAACTGAACAACAATTTCAGTAGAAATCTGATCTCGAAAATTTTATTTTTAGCAATGAAATTATATTAAAAATCGCTTATTAAATTTTAATTTATCTCTGTACATTTAATTTAATTTTAATCATTTAATTATTTTAATGAATAATAATTAATTATTAATTAAATTACAACAAGAATGTTAATATTAATCATTATTAATTAATCTGGTAATAATTAAATATTTAATTTTTTAATTATGAACGAAACTTGCACTTTGGTGTCCATATATGCCAAAAAAGAAAAAAAAATGTTTTACTTGCATCGATTATGCATATGGATGACTCCATTAATTGTGAAACGGGACAGGAAAGAAAACCCGAAATAATTACTTTTTATAACGACACAAAGTTTGGAGTGGATGCTCTTGACAAAATGGTGTGGGACATATAATTGTGCCCGTAACACCAGAAAATGGCCAATGGTTGTATTTTATTCTATGCTGAATATTTCAGCAATAAATGAACTAGTGGTTTATCTAGGAAATCAAAATTTGGTAAAAAACAGAAGAGAGTATCTAAGAGGATTAGTAAAAGAACTGACAAATGAAGAAATCACTAGACGCCTCAAAAAAACTAATTTATCAAGAGATTTGCAAAGGAGGTTGGAAAATTACAAACCGTCTCTAGAATATAAAAATGCCGTAAAATGTCCAAACGCTCCAAATAAGCGAAAACGGTGTTCTGCATGCTACGGATTCAAGAAAACCAGAATGACGCAATATTCTTGCACGAAATGTAATGAATATTTTTGCTTGGATCATTCAGTCATGATGTGCAAAAAATGTTCTGAAGACGAGCCTCAAATAGAATATCATTCTGATGAATAAATAAATACATTTTCCTTTTTTTTTTACAAAGTCTTCTGTCACTGTTTTGTGCATTGTATATTTTTCATTTTGTAATTGTATTCCTGTATGTTGTATTTTGTATTTCCTAAATTCTGTAATTTGCATTTCATTAATAAAAAAATTTTTTAAAAATTTCTAGATGTATTCTGGAACTAAAAAGAAAAAGAAGGAACACTTATCAAATCATATAAAACATTTTATATTACTAAAATGCGATGTGCATCTCTCGGATGCAGCGCGCCCGACGGAGGGAAATTCCAGGCGCGCCCGACGGAGTGTTAATGATTCTAATGGCCATTTTATTAGTCCAAAGGGGCAACTTGCCCAGAAGGACTGTTAATTTCGTTTTGGTATTTTGCGTTGATTCACTATAAGCGTTGTTTCACTTTTCAGATTGCTGCCACCAAATATTATCTCCCTGTATAATATTTAAAGAAATTAAATAATGAAGAAACTGCATAAATGTATGTATATTTCTCGCATTGTGATAAAACAGCGGTACCTAGAGCCATCCAGTTTTGAATAACGTAATCCGCCTGCGAATGTGGGCGTCTGGAAGCCCAAATTTGAAATTAGAATTTGTTTTATTATCGATTTCATATTTTGTAAAACTTTAATGAATTTTTGATTAGCAAACTCAAGTATTTCAAAACGAGCAATGGCAACGTTGTAAAAAAAAAAATATTCTCTAAAAAATGCCCCTTTAGACGTAATTTTTATTATTATTATTATTATTATTTATTTACTCTTGTTCCTCCTTCCTGGCGGTCTTGCATAGTGCTCTGGCATTTCTAATTTTAGAAACTTAAGCTCAGTTTGCGGATATTTCAAAGATCTTGTGTTCAAACCACCTTTACCTGCAAGTTTGCCTGAACTAAACAAGGCATTTGTGATGCTTTACAAACAGTCAATAAGTGAAACATCACAACACATTTGACAAGAAATGGAATATTGCATTGATATTTTACGGGTGACTAAAGGAAGACTTATCGAACAAGTTTCTTTATTTTGACATATTGTTTATAATTTTCTATTTGCAGTTATGGAAAATATTAAATTTTGTAATCGCATGATTCTTTCCTGGTGATCATATGGTAAAATAATTTATAACTTAGAGCATTTTAAATTTATGGAAGGGATGATAATAACTCATCTATTTATTTACAGTTCGGGGGGATACACTCTGGCATTAAAGTGAACAAAAAAGATACAACTCATACTCTAATGTTTCGTTGTTTTCTGCTTATGAAACAGGATTATTCCTATTTATAAATGAATGATAGATATGCTAGAACACATTTCCAGACATGCCAAACATCCTCGGCCAAAAACTTTTTTCATGAGCTTTCACTGACATTTAACTTCGTGGACTTGGACTTCTACCACTGGCATTAAAGTGAACAAAAAGATACAACCCATACTCTAACGTTTCGCTGTTTTCTGCTCATGAAACAGGATTATTCCTATTTTATAAACAGGGACGTGTCTCCAGCGCCCGGGGACAAACTGAAGAATTTGCGCCCCTTTCTGTGTGCCAAAAATGGAAAATATTTCATTAAAAATTTTCGTAGCATCAATTTGGCGCCCCTTGGATGCTGTGCCCGGGAACAGATGTCCCCCCTTAGCCCACCCTAGCTACGACACTGTTTATAAATGAATCATAAATATGCTACGCTTAATAAATAATATGTTTATAAATGAATCATAAATGTGCCACTGTTTATAAATGAATCATAAATATGCTATAATTTAATTAAATTATAGCATATTTATGATTCATCTTCTAACATCAATAATTTTTAGCTTCCTCCCTTTTTAAATTAAAATACCAAATGAAAGCTGTATACATATATCTTCAAATTCTTCATTTTTTAATTTATAAAGCTACTTTAATATGCGTATAGTACTTTTGAAGCTGCCACAAGCTGACCCAAGTATTAAGTTCAAATCCAGTGTAATGACAGACTATTACAGACCTTAAATATAATAATGCGTAATACAATAGATTAGTATTTTAGTGCCGGTGCATTAAAGATACAGAAAACTAATCCTCAGCTTGCCTTTGGATCACAAATGCATGTCTGTCTGATAGTTGAAGCATCGGGTTATTAAAAACAGTTTCCAGGTTTGTCAGCTGGTAAAGTCGGTGTTTCGAACTTTGGCTGATAGTCTCAAAGTGACGATACTAGCAACAGATCGGTGATCCAAACGCAATGCCAACACTGAATGAACAACAGTTTCAGGTTCGATTCTAACTGATAAATTCAGCATTTTGTACTGAGGATGAGAGTCTCTTCAATAGATGGCGCCGCTAACAATTCTGCAATCACTACACTATTGCATCTTAATTCTCAGGAATTTAACCTTTTACGGCTTCGAGAGAAATTCATTCTTTTATTTTGTATCTCAGATTTTTTATTATTCTGAATAATAAAAATGATCATTTTTGATACTTTGATGCTTGAAAGAAGCAGTGAGTCTTAGAGCTTTTTAAATTATGTTACTAATCATTTCTTACGGAAGAAAATCATGCCAATTTCATAAGTAGACAAAAAAAATTCCGTTATTTTACATGCCTGCTTACTACTACTTATATAACCAGTTATTTTATTATTTAAGCCTTTACTACTTGTCCTTTCCGTTTCTTCATCAGAATGCAAGCCAGGTAAAGAGTATTTAAGCGGAGGTTTTTGGATTGTATGATAGACCATGGTTTCTGCCTTTCGTAGCATGTTACGTTAAACCTGCCGGCTCTGATAAGTTTGCAGTTATTTGGCATCGCATTATTGCTGTGGACATTTAAATTTGATATGGCGATTAGAGCTTTCTGAGACAGTTTACTTTAAAATTTAATTGGATAATTGTTGACTACAAGCTTACGTTTTAAATTCCAATTTGACTGTTATTTTAGTTGCATCGTCACAAGTTGCGGTTGATTCTGTTAGCAAAAAAACGTCCATTTATATTCTAAGTTCTATTTAAATAAAAAGGTTGTTTAAATCTTTTCAAGTTTCTGTAGTTACTTTAAACATAGCGATAATTCGCTTTACGGCTATTAAAGTTTTAGCGTATTTAACTGTTAGAAGATGCAGAAAAACCCTACATGCAAATGCACCTTTTATGAACACAGAGAATCTAATATAGATCACTCTTTTTAAAATATATTCTACCAAATTTATAAAAACTTCATCTTTTTTGGGGGGGTGGGGGGGAAATAATCGTTAATCTAAAGCTGATTTTTGTCCTTTTGTAAGCTTCCATCGAATTTTAAAATTTCAGTTATTAAAATTTTAATACCTTTTAATTTTTGAAACACTACAAATGCTGGAATGTCGAAGGTCAATTAGAAATATGACTGCACATTAAGTATATATGAAGTAAATAGAGTTATTTTAAAGAGACGTGAAGAATGTTGTATTAAACTTGGAACGTCATTTATTCATTTCAAATAAGAGTCATATGCTTGAGTTTGTGTCATGAGATGGCGCTGCTGATGTTGCAGCAGCAAGTTCAGATTGGTGCAACTGGAGCAATTAGTAAAGAGTTGCAGCGACAGCTATTATAAACCAGAATGATTCTAAGGCTATGAAACTGGAGAGACATGTTGGTTTTAGAAAAATGGAGAAACCGATTGCTTACAACTGGAACATCCAGGGAAATAACTTTAAAGGATTAGCACCGATGCCGAAACATCGATAAGCACTGTGGCAGCATTCGAAACGAAGATCTGTTTGAAGCAATGGAGTGGGTCTGTTGGTATTGTTGTATAATTTTCTTCAGCTTGTATCAAACGATCAAATATATAGTCATATTTCTAACTCACCTTGAATTTTTGGAGAACTCAAACTACAAGAACACCTTGTATGTTTTTTTGTGACCACTTACCTATACTTTGACGGTAATCTGGCTTATAAACTACCTCTAGGTGTGGAATATGTTTTTTCACTGCTGTAACAAGTTCTTCTGGTGTAAAACTGATTGCTGCAACATTGTATGTTCTAAGTCTGAGACATTCCGATGGAGCTTCCATGAGTTCAATGAGAGATCTCAGACAATCGTCAATATATATCATGGGTAGCTTTGTTGATTTATCCAAATAGCACTCAAATCTGCCACTTTTTAAAGCTTGATGGAAGATATGAACTGCATAATCTGAAAAATTTTACAAAGATAATTTTATATTTTACTAGAGCAAAATGGTAATATATATATATATATATAACTGATGTGCGTAAGCATTTAACATTCAGCTTACATTTTACTCCATTTACGCACCCCTTTGGTATTTCTATTTACGATGAGCAACATTATATAAGATATCGTGTTCATAGCTTAAGTATTGATTTCTAGATTTTAAAACACCTTAGGAAATTAAAATGCTGCTAGTACTGTGTAAAGAAGGTCAAATATAATATATTTTGCCACTAAAAGTTACATTAAGTGCAAGTGCTGTGAAGGAGCTTTTCCTTGCAAAAATTTTTTGTAACGTATATTATGTCAGAGGTTTTCTTTAAAAACCTTGATGATAATTCCACCTTTCATAGCTTGCAATTTTATGAATTTTTTGCTATACCTTTCATGGCTTAAATTTTTATGGAATTTTTTACTATGAATCAAAAATATTAGACGTAATATTTTCAGAATTAATGGTCCATTACTTCTGAAAGATGTAGCAAAGACAAAAAGTTTTGCTAGCCATATCAGATAGGTTGGGGTTCTTTAATTACGACGTTAAGACGTCGTGATACGATGCTTTCACAACCAAAATATCACCTGCGAAAGACGCAATAACGACGTCTATGCGACAAAAACCTCATCTACAAGGACATAATGGAAAACAGTGGAGTTTCGCGGACATCTGGGAGTCTTAAAGACGACATATTGCAACGTTTTTGCGACGGCATCCGCGATGAATTTGCAACGTCGTTACGATGTTGTTGTGCTACTTGGGAACGAGAATCTCTAAGACACTGGTAAGATCAGGGAAAAATATCTTCTGCTGCAAGCCAGTATACCGGCGAAAGTATCAAAGCATAAGAAATCATTCTCCAACTTACTTTCACGAGTGATGAGGAAGGCTGCTGATCTAAACGAATTTGATAAGGGTAGATTGTAATGACCCGAACGAGTATCTCCTAAAACGCATCATTATCAACTATACCAGTGGGCCCAGGAACATCGATATTGGACCATGGATAAATGGAAGGCATTTGCCTGGTCGGATGAATGACGATTTCTGATACATCACGTCGATGGTCGAGTCACAGGGTACGTTATGTTTCAGGCGAATAGTTGCTGCCTCTTGTACAGCAGGTCACACACAGGCTGGTGGTGATGGTATTATGCTTTGGGGGACGTTCTCATGGGCAGCTCTGGGATCCTTAATTGTGGTAGAACAGACCATGAAAGCTGCAACTATCTGAACATAAATGTGGTGTAGTTGCATCCTTTTATGGAATGCGTTTACTTAAATGAAAATGGAATCTGCCAGCAGCAAAACAACCCATGTCACAAGGCTTGAATTCTGTTGGAGTGCTTAGAGAAGCACAAAGATGAATTCCAATTAATGTCCTGGTCACCTAACTCGCCGGATCTCAACCCGATAGAGCACATTTGGGATATCATGGAATGGCAGCTCATAGCTCAAACACCACCATGTCAGAATGCCAAGGTGAGTTGCCGCTGTTTTGCAGCCAAACGTCGCACAACGCGTTATTGAATAGGTGGTCACAATGTTTTGGCTCTTCAGTGTATATTCTTATAATCTCAGCTGTGGTGATATATCATACACAAACTGAGCAGGTTGCGCGGTAAATCAGTCCTTTTCATACTTTGGTTCTTCTATCTTCTTGTATGATTAGTAAATTAAGAAGGTCTGCTTTCCTTAACTTGGCTAGAGATAGACAAGGCTTCAGATCAGAATTTTATAGAATACTTTCAACGAACCTGCACCTTTCATCTAATAAGGAGTCCAGTCTAAAGGTCTTTCTCGGCAATTGCTTTAATTCACGCAGGAGTGGGTTAATAAATCTGATTAATTCCTCAAGCAGCTAAAGTATTTTGCCAAAAAAAGAAAATCTGATTCAGTCAGCCCAGGCCAAAATACCAAAATTTCAGAGACTGAGCAGTTAAATTACTAATCAATCTTGCAAGCAGTATAATAAGTAAGAGTTTAGTTTGAGGTAAAATAGTGTCCTTAAACATTAATTTACAAGGTTTATGTTAATTGATATTTTTTTCCGATGTTAATTTTTTTTCACTTTTGTTTCCCATCAGCTCCAACAGAAATACAAATTAACTAACGAGCATGATTCTACGTTAAGCGAAAGAATATTGTCAACTTCAAACAGAAGCCCCTCAAATTCTACTTGCATTTCTATTTGCTATTCTTGTTATTTGCGAATATTAATCTTGGAATCATTTTGTTTATAGTTACTTAGAAGACACATTAGCATAGTTAATATTTCTTTTATAAATAACTGGAATGCTATTGCATTATCAGACCTCAAAAGTCGGACTTATGTTAAGTTCAAGTTTTGTAACTTCAAGCCCCAATGTACAAAGAAACTTTTAGTTGATTTTACGATTGTTGTTATGACTTTGGTGTTATTGGATTCTGAGTGGAAAACGGTAGGAGAATTCGTTTCGCAGTTTGTCTGCTACTCAGAATAGACATTTCAATGCCATTTTCCCTCCCAAATGAAGTCTCATTACCATGGTAACGACTGCTATGAAACGGCCAAATCTATGCTAAAATCTCCTAATTCCCTCTGTGGAGTAATGATGACACACGTTAAGATCTTAAATGAAAGGAAGGTCGCTACCAACTTGAAGTGGCTATTTTAAAGAAACAGACTACAGGAAGGTTAACCTAGTGCTTAGATTAAGTGTAATTAGCATGCAACCTTAAATGTATACTGCATGATGTTGCAATTTTTCAAGTTATTTATTTTATTACAACATATCAACATAGACTACTTTTGATTACGACAAGCTCAGATTTTTTAATTACAAGATATCACCATAAACTTAGATTACTTTTTATTACATTACTATTTTATTATGAAACTTAATGAAAATATAAATGAGTTCATACGAGAACTAAGTTATCGAATGATATTTATTTGAATATTTGAAAGGCATAATAATGCGTAAATACATGTTAGTGTGTTAATTCTATCATTATATTTATTCACTCCTCCCTTTAACATTGATACCTTCATTCCATTTATTTTCAGATAATTTAAATTTTACTGCATTATAATTTACCTGTAGTTCCTCCTCCAGGTGCAGTGTCACTGGATATTACTCCAGGAAAACGAAGGCATCGAAAATCCAAACCATATTTGAAATGATAGTACTAAAAATAAAACAGATGCATGTAACACGAAAAACAACAGTGTTTATAAACTTCTTAACAGAATAAAATGATAAAAATGCGATAACTTTGACACTTAAAAGGTTAAAAAATACTATACATTCTAGATATTTTTGTTTGTTCATGCATGCTATAATTTCTTTCTTTTTTCTTTTGTTTTTTTTTTCTTCCCCCCTTTTTTTACAGTTACAATAGATTCGATGTACTCCCTTTTGAAGGTTACATTTATTCTATTCACTTTTAGCACTTAAAATTTATTAATTGCCCAATACAATTTGGTTTCACATTAATGATAATACTCAGGGTGCATAATTTTCGCATTAAGAAAAGCAGAAATTTCGCTTTTATTCAGAAGGAAATGCAAATTAGTGTGTTTGGAATCTTTTGTAACCTGTAGAGTTTAGAATTTTATGACTTGTGAATAGCAACCGAATGACGATATGTAAAAACAGAAGTCAGTCAATTTAGCAGTTCTGTACCATGCTTTAGAAATCTGGATACATTTAAAAAAATTAATGTTTAAATATCTGAGCATTCCTTATTTTATATAATAAAATAAATTACTACAATAATATGAAAAAGTAATTGAAAACTAGTTTTGTTATAGTCTCAATTGTCTCTTTCCTGAGCTCTAGTGCTCTATGTATAAATGCGATAGTACATATAGTAAAACACCTCTCGCCATCCATCTCGCTGTTAAAGGGATTATAAAGGCTTTCATTCGTGAAGTTTTTATGTTTGTATGTTGTTGCTTTAGAATCTGTATGACATCAACATATCTTGACTGGTCACTCAAAGAGGTTAATGAAAATGATAATATCCACCAACGTATTCGTCTTTTGAAATATCTTCAAAAATGGTATTTTAATGAAGCTTTTGGATAAAAATACTTGGTTTCCAACTGATGCAGGATTGCTCGTGGCTACAGATGGACAAAATAATCTGCTGAATCCTGTTATTTTTCAAGAGCCGGGGGGCCAAGCTCCTGTACTCCGTATGATGTAAAAGTTAACCAGTCAAGCGCAAGAAATCGCAGATCAAGGATAAAATATTCTTCGAATATGCTCATAGGATGGTGTATGTAGAGTCAATGTGTTTCATCTCTTCTTTGTTGCTGTCATCAATATCCATTTGTACTTCTGATCAATTCATCCTTTCTGGTTTATTGAAATACATTCTGTATTATCCCTAAAATGACCTGCAATTTGGCACTCAATGAAAGATTTTAAATCATCTGACAGACTCCACATGTGAGCGAATTCATAGTTAAGTCCTATTAAATTCTAAATCGTTTCATAACATTTGTGCAGGATTGAGGAATGACAAACCTTTGAACTCGTATTTCACGAGATAGAATTCCACTTTCAAAACAGTCCTTTAGGAAATCGATACTCGAATTTGTTCTTCATTTCTTTATTGAGACAAGCAACAATATATTATATGTATTCGCTGAAATAAGCGAAGAGTTTCGAACCATAAAACATAATGATAGTTAAACTCAAGTGTGTTTTTAGAAAACAAAATAAAAGAAACGCGCTTCTCAAATTTGCGAGACAACTGAATTGGCTGAGTGAGGCGACCGACGCGAGGCGAGTGAATAGGTATGCATAAGAGAAAGGTGGACGATAGGAACGTTTAAAGACAATTCTTTAATTTCCACGTTATCGGGGCGAGTACCATGCAAATTAAACAAATTATCCTTAAATAACTGTTTTGTAAATTTTTTTCACCAATTTTCTCTTAAAAAATTCATAAGCAATGTTTCGCATTCATTCGCATCTATTTCGTAAAGACAAAAGCTACGTAATAACTATATTAATAACACTTCTGTTAAAGGAATTTAATTTATTTTTAATAAACGAAGAATTTCAATATCTTTTACCCCTTATAAAAATTTCTTTCGATAAGAACCAGTTCCATTCTTAATGCACCTAATCATCGGTCTGAATTACGTTACATCTAATTATAAAAAGAATTAATTTTTCTCTAATCTTCCTCTACAAGCCACATTTATTTTGCTCCTTTCAGATAATTTCAGTATTATCTTTTTTCGTGCACTTCTTTTGCATTACAAATATCCATATTTAGATGCAGCTGAAATTTAACAGTATAAAAAAATTTTTAGTAATTTAAACTACAACATTTGTCAACCGAAATGAAACTGTAAGAAACCAAGGTTTGAGACAAGATTCTTGAAACAGTCCATTAAATCGCGATTTAAAGTATTATAAACCTAAAGATACTGACGAAAATTGCCATAAAAGGTTTCATTGCCTATTCCAGATGACACATTTCTTGAAAACTGCATTGAAATGTAAAACTCTGAAAACAATTTAAATGCTGAATTAATTCTAAAAGGCTCTTTTTACTGCCTTGTATGAACTAAAAGAAGTAATACAAATTGTAAAATGGATTTTAAATGAATTCAGAAGAGATTTTTTTGTGACGTCTATACGTATATACGCACGTACGTATTTCGCATAATTCAAAAACGAGCAGCCTCAGAACTTTTAAATTTTGTATATGGGACTGAAATAATATGTAGTTGAGCACCTGCCTTTTTTGGTGCACCTGCTAACCAAGCGTATATACCACTTGGTAAATTGTGCATTTTTTTGCTTAAAAAAATTGAATTATTTTGTTCTTTATTTTCGGTTATTTTATACCTTTATTTAATCTTCATGCAATCGTTGTAGGATTAAGTCGTACCGAGCCTAACGAGGCCAGCATTTGTTTACATTTGAAAATCTTAAGAAGAATAGTGAATTAAGTCACGTTGTGCACCAACTTCAGTGTCTTTTTACTGTTTTTTAACTGTATTGGGTGTTTTTAGGTTTGTCTGTATTTTGCAATTTTTAATGAAGACGTTTTGAGTTTTTACGTATTTTTTCCTTGCCGCGAAATGAAAACTGAAATGTTTGGATGAGAATATACCTCTAATTAAGTTCGAGGAAATAAGTTTAAATGAAGCGCAGCAAAAAGTATGCTTAATTTAATATGCGGTACTAGGAAGTCGTGCTATGTTCACATCAGGTATTGTAAACTAGAATGTACCTTTTCTTGTGGAAATATTATTTTTTTATTGTACTTTATTATTTGGATAATATACAGCATCTACACAATTTTTCATTTCTTAGTATAATTTTCGATAACTTACGCAGTTCTTTTGTTTATATGGTATTCTATGAAATTTTCGTTTTCATTCATTTCTTAGTATAATTTTCGATAACTTATGCAATTTTTTTGTTTATATGGTATTCTATGAAAAACATTTGATGCTATGCGATTAGATATATTTTGTAAATGATTTCAATCTACATATTAGAAGGATTCAATTATGTTAAATGATTAATATATAATGCATTTTTAATTATTACACATATATTAAGTATATGATTTAGATACTTATACTACGTAAAAGAAATTACTGAGAAAAATTATGAAACTAATTGGTTCACTACAGAGGGTGTTTACATATTGTTTAGAGCGATTTCGGGGACGTTCAATTAATGTTTAAAATGTAAAGAATACTTTTTAAATGTTTAATTTAATAATTTTTTTCTGAACTGTAAGTCTGTGTCGTGATTTCCATGCCGAAGGGATTTTCGTAAAATTTACAGAATATTTACGTATTGATTTCCATTCCTCTACTATTTTTAAGAGCCTATCAATCGTGGTAGGTTGTGCATAGAAAAAACTTTTTCCAGGAGCTCAATACTCCATATGTGAAACGTCAAGATATTTCACAGGAATACGTTGAAAATTTTTGTATGCAATACCTGTATCAGTCTTCATTTTTTCAAGGAATGCAAAGGTACTTTTCGAAGTATGACTTGTTGTTTTGACGAAGTTTCACTCTTTGAAAGTAACTGGGATAAAAGAAATAGAATTTCTTCTGCAAATATCGGAAATGAAATTCTCTTGATCATTATTTTGAGTTAATTTTACATTTTTTTTCATTCTTCTTATTTTAAAGTTTCCATTGTTAGGGAATCTTGCGATAATCAAATTCCTTGCTGAAACTTATTTTACATTAACGGAACCAGGTCTGTACACTTTTTTCTCTTCGTTTTCGAAAATAAATATACTTTTTTTTTCATTGCAGTCATTTAGGTAAACCCATGTTTAATCAAGAGTCACAATGTATTTTATGTCCTGTTAAATAATTTTAGTACAGGATTCTGCAAATTGTTCTGCGTTGAACAAAATGCCTTAGTTAAAACTAATGAACATTATGTTTTTTAGCTTTAAGTTGTAAATCTTGGTTTATTATTTTATTCATTGTTGTTACAGATGTATTTAGACTCTGAAATTAATTTCTGCGTCTGCGGATTTCCACTTGTCATCAATGATTTAACTTTAGAAACATGTACCGTTTTCGGGTATTCGCTTGGAGTTCTCTTTTCGTGTGAAAGTAATGATTGACGATTTTTCCTTTTTCGATTAATAATGTTGCTTATTTTTCACTTAGGAATATTTCTCTTCGGAAAGCGCAAAAACATATCCTTCAATCCGCAGCTTGTTCACGTGCGACGTTTTAAAAGAAGAATAGCAGACGATATTTCTGATTTCAAATAATAAGCTGCTGACAAAAATTTTTATTCCAAAACTTTTGATTTTTTATTTCTTTTATTTTTATCGTTGTAAAAATATGTAAACACCCCTCTACATAATGCTTTGAAAATTCGTGTCCATTAAATGAGCGGACAAATATTTGACACTATTCAGTTTTTATTCAGTACTATTCAAAAACATACCTCTCCAAGTAATTCTGCATGGACTTTAGAAACCCCATATATGGTACGCGGCCTCTGAACACAAAGATCAGGTGTTGGATTTCGGGGAGAATCTGGCCCAAAAGCACCTATCGTACTTGGAACGAAAATTTTCAATCTGTATTGCTTAGCTAATTCCATGACATTATGCATTCCTTCAATATTGACTCGCATAGCTAGCGGTACATTATCTTCTCCAATTGCACTAAGAAGTGCACTGAAGTGTATTAACCAATCGACTCGATAATTTACTATTAGTTCTTGGAGATTCTTAAAATCCAAAATATCTGCGTAGATGTATGGACCTGTAAAAAAAGGTTACTAATATATATAAAAAAAAAAAAAAAAAAAATAAAAAAAAAGAATTAATTAAAATATTTTATATTTAGTTTTCATTCTGATTGTTTGCTTACCTGAATTTAAAATGTCTTCTGGAGCTCTAACAATGTCTGACATAATAACATTTTCTGCCCCATATCGCGTTCTTTAAAGAGAAGAAATATCATAGTAAAGTATATAACACAGAAAAATTCTATATTAAACATTATTTGTAAATATTTTGTATAAAATTTTTTTTTGTTCAAAATGAAAGTAAATTCAAAAGAAAATTGCTAACCTGATAATCGAAGTCGCTTTGCAACAAGCATTAAAATATGATCTTCAGTAAATTCGTTTTCGAATGTTTCCGTAGAATATCCCATAAAATTATGAAACCTTTCGTTTTTAATTTATTAAAGCGTAAAGAAAGTTTTGTTAACTGTACTTTTTGATACCTCTGGGTACCACAAAAAGATTACCTTTTACATTTACTTGAACTATCCAACAACAAATTAAAACAGTTTTCGTAAAATTTTTCATCCTTATTTACATAAAAGTAACTGTAGATTCCATCGAACCTCCCGCTAGCATACATTCATGCAGGGCCGGATTTACGTATAAGCTATAGCTTATTGCCCCACTTTCTTGAGGGACCCCCAAAATTAAAATATAGTATAAATAGTATTAAAATATAGTATAAAATAGTATTAAAATATAGTATAAATAGTATTAAAATATAGTATAACAAACTTATAAAGGGCCCCATATCTCAAATAGCTTAGGGCCTTATCAAGTCTAAAAACCGGCTCTGCGTTCATGGACCAAGGATTTTGTTAGTTATCAAGTAGTGTTCGCTAACTGCATAAGTGCATTTTTCTCTTATATTGAAGAATTTCAAGCAGTTTGCATATGCAGGTGACTCTGAAATTTTTGAGACGGAAGCAGACAATGTGCGCTAAAAGAAATCATTTGTTAGTTATGTAAGTTTGAATTTTTTTTAGGTTCGCAGACTATAATTTTTGACAACTGTAATGTATTTATCGTAAAATAAATTTTGAAAGGAAAGGAAATAAAGCTGGCATGACAGCATTATCGCAGTACGATTTTAAAGTGAGACTAAATCAGAAAGAATACTTTCAATGTCTACAGTTAGTATGTGGAAATGAAGCTCCATCTCGTAACACTATTGGTGGCACGAAATGACTCATGTGTTCAGATGGTTTAGGGAATTTCGTAGAGTCCGAAATTCTTTCCTAGTTGAGAACACACAAGTCAGCTGTAATCCCAGGAAAAAGCGACAGCCATATGAAAAATTTTAATCAATGATAAAAGCTGTCGCTACCAAATAATACAGAAGGAATTTAACACTGGATCTGCAGCTATACGTAAAGTTATTCATGAAGAACTGCATTTGAAAAAACAAATTACACTGAGAATCCCCATAATTTAACAAAACACCAAAAAGCGGAGCATGTCAGTATCGGTAAAGAATTCATAGAATTACTTAATAATGGTGGACACTGCGTTATTTCTAAAATCATAACTGGTGATGAAACGTACATACTTTTTCTTGAAGTTACAAACACATTAAGAAAATAAGATATGGGTCTTTGGGAATGATCCCAAACTAACAATGGTAATAAGACACCGACCCATGTATGCCGTTTTCTTTAGAAATACAGGAATGGTCAAAACCATCAAGGCAGGAGAACAGGGAAACCTTCAACGAACTAGTACACCATTAACTATCTTCCAGAAAGTCTTCAAATGAAAAAATAAATTCTTCATCATGATAGAGCATCTTCTTATATAGCAAGACTAGCACTCGAATGTTTTGAACAAAAACATGTCCAAAATGATAGCACAGCCACTTTATTCCCTTCATCTTGTTCTGTGTAACTATGGCTATTTTAAATCTGTAACTAAATTTACGTAGCTGTCGTTTTCATTCCGAAGATTAGACTAATGAAACGATACAAGCATATCTTCCATTGATTCCAAGATATTTATTTATACAAATGGCCAGGCAGTTGGTCACTAAGCCATTAGTCTGATCTTGCTTCCCAATACTTAAGAACAATAGAATTAAAAGATAATAGTGCAGTGCACTCGTCAATATCCCTTTATCCATGTATTGTATAGAATTACACAGTAAAAAGATTGTTTGAACAATCGTACCGAGTTCAAAAGACGAAATAACGCCACTGCTACAAGACGAAAAAAATCTGAAATAACTGGCTTTGAACTAGTGAGGCACTCCCAGGCCCTTTTCTTAGCTTCATTTAATAGGTAGTAGACAAACTTCCTCTTAAATTCTAATTTAATAAGAGTTTTGCAGACTCAAAAGTTATATGGTTATTAATGGTTTGTAGAATAGTAGTTCCTTTCTTTGCCAGGAAATCGGCTCTTTCATTTCCCTCGATGCCACAATGAGGGTTCCAAGATATGGATAGTTTGAAGCCTAACATTTTTTTTTCCTTCAGCCCAAAGGGCGTTAGCCCAGAAGGGCTATTAATTTCGGTTTGGCATTTTGTGGCGTTTCACTTTTCGAATTGTTGCCACCAAATATTATCGCCCTGTATTGCATTTAAATAAATTAAATAATGAGGAATTTGCGTAAATGTATGTATGTTTCTCGCATTGTGATAAAACAACGGTACCTAGAGCCATCAAATTTTGAACAACGTACGTCTCCACCAGAATATGGGCATCTGGAAGCCAAAATTTGGAATTTATTTTATTATTTAATTCATATTTTGTAAAGCATTTTTGGGTTTTTTATTAAGAAACTCAACGATTTCAAAGCGAGCAATGGCCACACTGTTCGGGGAAAAAAATTTTTTTTATCTCTAGCGCGCGATACTGTATATCGGTAAATCTAAAGATATGCTCATTTTAAAATTATTTTGCAATATTGCCGTTGAACTGAATTTAATGGTTTAAGTGAGAAGAACATGTTGTTTAATAAATAAAGGTAACATACAAAACGTTAAAAAAAGTCCAATCCATTTTGAGTAGTTTTTAGTTTCGTTTAATTCTCTGCGCCCATTAAAATTTTCCGTAAAGTAAAATCAAGATACCAAAATTTATAAATTCTGTCATTTTACAAATACATTTTTGATAAGAATGAATAAATACTACCTTAATTTTTGTGCAAGTCCTGTTCCGAGTTGACCTAAGCTTCCTAATAACATAAAAATTAAATTATAAATAAATCACAAAATTAAAATGAAAGATTATTCAGCATATGCATTTGAATAAATTATAAATTTTCATGCTGTGTACTCTGCGATTGCCGAAAACGCATTACCTGTAATTAATATCCGTGGAGAGTGTTTTTCCTTCTTAGTACTTAAACACCTCGTCAACACAAGAGCATTTGAGGTTCGTCTGTGTAGAGTTCTTGGAAATTTTATTTGGGAAATTCGCAATCCAGAAATTCTTGTACTGTTTAGCATGATTACTGAAAAAGAGGAAAATATTTTGAAAAATTAAAACAAATAAATAAAAAGCTTAAAATTAGCCAAAACACTAATCTTAGTTTGACGTGGATTTTCAATAAAACTGTATTGATTTTGAAGGCGATCAGACACAAGTACCACTTGTTCAGGAGAGGGAAAAAAAAAATTGCAAAAATGGGAGTATCAACGACCGTATTTTATACTTAAAATGGAGAGAATTTTCACATTGTTTCAAATTTCTGAAACAACTAATCAACAGATTTTAATGAAATTTGGGATGAATATACATTCATACAACAGATTTTAATGAAATTTGGGATGAATATACATTCATAACAGAGAACGAGATGTTACCATTCAAAAATCATTTTATGTACGCATAATTATTATTATTACTAAAGTACATAGTGCAGATATATGCAAAATCCACGTTGCGATATCAAACTGAAAATGAGTGTAATATCAGGTATGGTCCCCTCTCACAGCTAAGCAAGTCGCGCAGCATGACGGCATGCTGAATAGGAGGCAAGTCCTTGTGGCAATGAGTTCAGCAGCAAGGCGGTTTTCAACACCTGGATGGTCCTCTGAGTGGGATAGCGACATGAAATTGTCTTCCGTAGAGCATTCTACGCAAACATTAAGGTCAGGAGATCTGGCTGGTCAATCTATGTGGTTAATGTCCTCTCTTTCCAGGTAATCGTCGCCCAGCTGAACCCTATATGGGCGAGCCATGTCATCCATTAAGAGGAACCGAGGAGCAGCTGCGCCCCTAAAAATTCGAACATAGAGCTCTAAGATTTCCTCTCTATACCTCATAGCAATCGGGAAGCCTTTGTCCAATATAATGCCTGGCGAAATGTATAAGCCATTTCTACCACTGTAATGATCCTCTTTCCTGATGAGGTAGGGATTGTATCGTGTTTCAGACTCTCTCCAGGTACAGGTACGCCAAGAATTCTAGGTTGAATCTAGGTTGAAGTCTAGGTTGAATCTCGAGCCATTTAAAGAATGTTGCTCTACTAAAGTCTGGTCTAAAGCGCATGTTGTCTACACCACGGTCAACGCGCTCTTTTGTGTACTGCAGTGAGCGGGATGGAGACAGCGGGTCTTCTGCATACAGCTCTCTTTCATGTAGCCTTCGGGAAACTGTAGACTGTGAAACTCGGGTTCCTCTGGCAGCATGCAGCTCATGCGAGAGCTGGGGAACTCTGGCAGTTGAAAATCGCCGCGCTGAATGTACAAAATAAAGATCCTCATTCGTTGCTGTGGATCGTGGTCGATCTTGTCCAGTTTTTCTCGATACCGATCGAGTGTCCTGAAACTGTTTGCATAAATTACAAGCGACAGTGGGCGTTACATCGAGCTCTGTGGATGTCTGCTTTTGCAATTCGCCTGGCTCTAATCTATCAACAATTCTCCATCTTATTGCGTCATCCATATGTTTGTGGCTATTCATTTTACATGATACCTTATAAAATTTACCCAATTCTTGTAAGAAACACGGGGAATGTCGTAAAGGATGCGAGCAAGCTAATCTCCGAACACCGCCCGTGCACTTATATATTCCTCCACAATCGCAGCTCAGCAGACACGCATTTGTACGCTTTCATGTTCGACATTGAATATTAGGATAATTTTTCGGCAGCATAAATAATACCTTTGGTTTAATAATTTCCGTAAAAACAGACGTAATTTGCAAATTCTCTTAATTTTTTACCCGAATGTATATTAAAAGCAATGGGCAAAACAAAGCGACCACGAACGTGACCTAGCGAACGGCGAAACGACTGCGCGAGCTGCACTTAGAGATACCAAATGTTCTTGTTGTTGTTTTGTCCATGATTCCCATAGAAGAATGGTTGTGAGAGCCTCAAGGAGGTTCTATTCGATTTCCACCCCAGTTTTGAGGAAGAGCATCTGGGGTGGTGGTCCAAGAGTCTCCCACCCCTTTCCCCTACCACCAATCCACACGAGAGAACGTTCGGCTCACCATATATTTTGAGTGACCCTATGCCGCGAAGACAGCATACATTTAGTGACATCCATGGTTTCTCCGGGACTCCATCCCGGGCCTTTCGATACCGCAGTAGGCTTCGCTAAACACTATACCATCTTGGCGGTGAGACACCAAATTTTAAACACAGATAATCCTTCACCCAAACATGGTCACTTTTAAGCCCAAACGGGCGTTAACCTAGAAGACCTATTAATCTCTAAACGGCATTTTGCGTCGAATCACTATAAATGAGTATATCACTTTGTACAGACACTAGGTATTTTTTGGAAGCAGAAAAGATGAAAAATGTGCAACGCCTTCGCCGAGAATCGAACCGCGGACTAACCGCTGGGCCTGGGCGGAAAACGCGCAGGCACGAAAGCATGCCAAGAAGGCGGAAGAAATACCTTATATACTACCCCTTTTAAAGGGCGAATGGGATTTTTAGGGGACCCAATCGTCAAACCCTGGGTGAGGAGAATCATCACCCAACACCCTTTTAGCTCGGGCGCCACTGTAGAGATATTAAGATTTTTTTGGAAGCCGGAGAGATGAAAAATTAGCAACTCATTCGCCGGGAATCAAACCGCGGACCTCTGGTATACGCGCCCAGCGTGCAGACCACCACACTACGAAGGCGGGAGAAATACCTTATATACTCCCCCTTTTAAAGAGCGACTGGGTGTGGAGATTCATCATCCACCACCCTTGTAGTTCGGGCGCCACTGTAGAGACATTATATATTTTTGGAAGCAGGAAAGATGAAAATATGCGACGCCTTAGCCGGGAATCAAACCAAGGATCTCTGAAATACGCGCCCAGCGTGCAAACGACCACAGCACGAAGGTATGCCAAGACGGCGGGAGAAATACCTTATAACCTTTCAAACTTTTTTACCACTAAATATTATCGCTTCGTAGAATCTACATGACTGTATGCTTGTTTCTCGCAGTGTGAAAAAACTAGAGTCATTAAATCAATAATAATTGAATAATATAGTTCTTCACCCAAACATGGGCCCAACCCCCGAATTTGTTTTATTGTCCCCTAATGTAGGAATTCCGAATTTGTTTTATTGTCTAGTTCATATTTCGTAAAACTTTCACGAAATTTTGATTAAAAAACTCAACAATTTCAAAGCAAGCAGTGGCAATAATGTAGGAAATTAAAGTTTTTTTTATCTCCAGAACGCGAAATTGTCTATCGGAAATTCTAAGGTTATACTGTTTTTAAAAATTTTTATCCCGGTGTGGAGTTAGCCCATATGCTCTCGAGATGTAAATGGTCTGTAAATCTGTCTGTAAATGGGAAAAAAAAAAAAAACGCCCGCTTGGGCGTAATATAAATTCTGAAGGCTTTCAGACTTCTTTTATTATTATACACTACCCGACATTGAAAATGCAACACCAAGAAGAAGAGGCCAGAAAGTGATGAAACTCGGCAAAAAAGAGAAAGTGATCTTTATTTCGAAATGATATGCATAATACAGAACGAGAATAGCGTCGGCTCAGTAGGTTGTAGGACCACCTTGGACGGCGACACACAAAGCAACACGTCTGGGTACACAATTAATGAAACTACAGATGGCGTACTGAGGAATGCTCGCCATTCCCTGTCAATCATTAGCCACAGTTTATCTTCTGAACGCGGTAGTGGCAGGGTCTGCAAATAGCGTCCATTCATATCCCAAATGTGTTCGATTGGTGAGAGATCAGGGGAGAACGGTTGCCAAGGAACTATCTGAACAATTTGCAGAGCACGTTGACTGATGCGAGCAGTGTGTGGTTGTTGGGAGTTATCTTTCTGATAAAGGGCACGGGGCACACCCTGAAGGTAAGGAAGTGTCACCGGCCGCAGCACGTATTGTTGGGCAGTCAGTGTCTTGAATACGAACTAGAGGTGACCTGGAATCGTACTCAGTTGAGCCCCAAACCATGAAGCAGTGTTATCATGTGGTGGAGCGCTCCACAATTGCTGCGGGATTGGACTTGTCTCCGCATCGACGTCACACTCGTACGCGGCGACTTTCATTGGAGAAACAGAAGCGTGACTCATCTGAGAAAAAACGACCCTGTACTCGTACGCGGCGACTTTCATTGGAGAAACAGAAGCGTGACTCATCTGAGAAAAAACGACCCTGTACCATTCCGTCGCTTACATCGCTCGAGCCTGGCATAATAGCAGACGTTGTCGTCTATGATGTGGGGTCAATGGCAGTCTTCTTAATGGATGCCACGAGTGCAAGCCACCAGTCGAAAGCAAATGGTTTCGGTCGGTATAGGAATATCCAAGGTGTTTTGAACATGCTGAAGAATGGAATTGGCTTGCGGGTGCCCGACCGCTTGTCGGTGGATGCTTCTATCCACGCGCACGCGTGCTAACGTCACTCTGGCTGCACCGGCACCGCTTAAACTTGCCATATTTCCTTGTTCTAATCATCGTCATTACAGCCAGTGCAGTGTGGACGCGTCCAAGTCTGTAGCAACTGAGATTTTCCATATGGGCCAACCTGCCGTTCTCAGTCCGATCACCGATAGTCATTGGAACTGTCTCCGTTGACGACAGCCTGGCACTCTTTGCTATTAACATGCGTCCTAAGAGACAAGAACAAATTTTCTACGATGATTTCTCTAGCAGAAATTAACGGCACGAAAATTGAACATTCTGCAGGTTCCTTCCCCTATATCTTCTTCAACGTGCGCTGGAGAACTGCGCATTTCTCATCTTTCGCATGGCTTGGTGACGTGCGTCTACGCTGAAATTCGCATGATTTTCGGGCCACTCCTTCTTGGTGTTGAATTTTCAATGCCCAGTAGTGTATATTTCATATTTTGCGTTAAATGAGTTTTTGATTAACAAACTTTGTGATTTAAAAGCAACGTGCTGCCACTCGGCAGACCATAAGATATTAATGTTTCAAATTTAATCGAAAAAATTAGCGACTTAAAAGCAATATAATCCCACTCGCAAAACGTTAAGATATCTTCCTTTCTATTTTCATCAACA